AAATCTTGAACTTCACTTGTTAGATCTTTAAGATAAAAAGAACAGTATCAATATTTTATTTTAATTTAATTATTTATATACCTTATAATAAATTAATTTATATCAACAGCTAGTAACTACCTACATAGGTAAGAAAAATATTAATAATAGATGGATCAAGAATACTTGGTGACTTACTTGTATCATTAATGAGAGAACATGAAGCTGTATAACATGGTGTTGTTAACAGTGGTATAGTTTGTTCAAATTCAAAATCATTGTCAAAAATTATTTCTTCAACAACTGGATCTTCAGTGTTTATATCTTTAAAGTAATAAGAATAATAAATTATGTTTTCATTCAACTTAAACAATATTTATATAATAATAAGTAACAAACAATTAATGCTTAAATATTCAGTTCAAAAATGAGTACTAAATTACTCACATGTTTCATCACTCATAGTACACAATGCTGTTGCAAGATTATCTGTTTTCTTTTTTTTTTAGTGGTGGTCCATTACAAAACAGTTTTGTAGGAATTAATGTTGAATGAATTGACAAATGAAAAATTGATGGAACAGCATCACTTTTCAATGTCAATTTGTAGCTTCCACCAGGATTTTCATAAAAATCTGAAGTCTTAAAATGTTCATGACATAACCGACTATTTTTATTGGGTATAAAACCTTTACGGCCAACTGCCTTAACCCACAATTCTAATTTACGTTCATTCATTGGAAATCTATAGAAAATAATAATACATGCAATTGTGACAGTTAAAAACAAAATTTAACAAAAGAACAATGTTAAAAGTAAACGTAGATAAAATTCAAAACGCATTTAATACAAATGCTTACCTGAAAAAATGTAAGCCAGAGCCAGCTTGAGCACGATTTTTGCAGCCATGTGCAGAACAGGTAGCAGGCATTGTTGAACTATTGAAAAGTAATCAATATCATAAAAGCACAGAATGGTATAAAATACAGAATAGATTTTGATGCGATTTTATTCTGTGCAAAATGCGAAATGCGAACGTCGGTCGCCGAATACTATCATGTTATCACGCCGTATTGATAAGACATTTATATAAACATTGACCCACACCATGAATTAAGATATACCTTAGTTCATGACCACGGATTAATATAAATAATAATATTAATCCGTGTTCATGACCCACACGCATATGGTGGCTGACTTCAACATCCCATATCCTAATGTAGACACGAGCCTACAAATGCCATAGTATCGGTGGCAAGTAATACTGTTGCGGAGCCACTGTTGTTCATGCATTGATTCGATATCTACGTGTGTGATAAGATAACATTTAAATAATTACCGCGTGAATTTAAATATTATAATCATTATTATTAATACAAGTAAATAATAAAATTGAGTATTGTAATTATTATATCCTAAATCTAAATTATTATACTTATAACAAAAAATGTAAGAATGATAATTCTACGAATAAAAAAAAAATAATAATAATTTATTAAACTTTATCTAATACGTCCTACAAAAATATAATACAACATAAAATTAATATAATTAATTTTAATTCAATATTGTTTGTTACTTTTTTTTTACAGTTCATTACCCGAACATAATTCATAATAATTAATAATTCAAATTTATCTTTAATGCTATTGCTAAAAAATCTTAAAATTAAGAAAATATAGTTTTATTTATTTGCCTTGTTTTTTGGCACCACAAAAGACATATTATACAAAATAATTAATACTATACGTATATTACTTACAGTGGCGTACATACGGGGGGGGGGGTTTTCGGGTTCAAACCCCCCCCCAGGACCAAAAAAAAATAAAAAAAATAATGTGATATTATTGATGAATTTCTTATTATTAATCAACCGTGTATACACAAATATACGTCATAATAATATGACTATTGAGTAAACACTAAACACTATACTTAACCAACAACGAAAAAAGATTTCATAACGAAATTATGGGTGCCGTATAATATGGTATATCAATCAAAATAGACATTATTTTGATCGTACACAGTCAGTTAGTTGCGTGCGGATATAAATACATATTAATATTGTCTTTATCTCGAGTCTCGACCGACTCATTATAAACACACAAGACTGGGCGAGTTAAGTTTTTTTTTTTTTAACTCAGTTAAGTTAATATGCATACACATATAGATATAGTATATATTGTATTTTTAAGTACCTAATCACATAAGTAATAAATAATAATAAATAAGTATTATATATTTTAGTTGTCTTTCAAACAGATATTATTTGTGTACGATGAGTAGGTATTTTTAATTTTAATGTTATTTTTTTATGTTATTTTTATCATTAAGCCCGGCAACTATGGCCATTAGCTGTTTTTGTTTGTTTGTTTGTTTGTTTAGTTTGTAGGGGAGGGAACTGTTGGTTTGTAAACACGTGTGTTTGTGGTGGCAGAATTTTTATTGGGGCACCCATGGTTTCTGCCATGCCCCGGAGTGGGGGGATGGCGGCACTTGTTTTCCGGACACCGTGACTTGCCCGGAAAAAAATGCCGCCCGGTGGTCGAGAATCGAACCCGCGACTGCCAGCGCCGCGGCCGACGCGTTAGACCGCTCGGCCACCTCGTCCCCCTTTAATGTTTTAACTATCAACGTGAATACTGTTAATAATAATTTTTAATAATAATTAATAATCTCACAAAACCGTAAAATCATAAAATCAATAGGTAATTGATTTATTTATTTTTGTTTATTTTTAGATTTTAGTGTCGGCAAACTATATCATAATATTATGTCTATATTATTGAAATTTTGACATGGCAACAAAATAGACTTAAATAATGAAATGTAAAAAAATGAAAAACAAAATAAATTAACTTACAAATAAAAAAATTAATTCGTTAATTTTACGTTGATTAAAAAATAAATTTAGTAAATTAGTAGTTAAGTTAAAAATTATTATTATCACATCATAATCATTATCATTCGATTTCGATATATTTTAGGTTTTGAAGGTAAAATAAATAGTAATCATGGCTGAAAAAAAACAATCGAAACTGCAATCTTTTTTTTCGAAACCACCCTCAATAATGAAATCATTGTCAAATTCATTGAATACAACAGTTATAAGTTCCTCTAGTTCCTCATTACCATCAACTGCATCTGCATCTGATACACCTATCACTCAGTTTACACCTTCGACTACAGATATTAATCGTACATCTTCCAGTTATAATATTTTTGACATTGCACATTACACAAATAAATTGTTAACGCAAAGTGAAATAGAAGAAATTTTGAGCAAAATTTGGGTCCCTGATATTAATTACAATTTTTCTATCAAAATATCAGTAGTCGGTAAGCAGCAAAAAGTTTTGAGGTTGAAATTTCAATATAAATGGTTAATCAACTTTCCCTGGTTGGCCTATTCAGAAGTAAACAATGGTGCGTATTGCAAATATTGTGTTGCTTTTACTAAAAATGAAGCCGGTGTTAATAACCAAAAATTGGGAGCATTTGTATTAAAAAAATATGATGATTGGAAACATGCATTGGAAGACTTTAAAAATCATTCGAATTTAGAATATCACAATCAATAGAATTTTTATTATAAATAATTAATAATATAATATTTATAATATTCTGTACTTACTACGAGTATGTGCATATTAAATAATATTTAAATGCCATGAGTTACGTAAACCTTTGTATTTGTTTTGCTATTTTGCCTATTAATATTTATACGTGTAATGTGTTTGATTGTTAGGAAAATGGGTAGTTGCAAAGAGAAGGTTTTAGTGCTGGTTATTTTTTTTAAACCTCCCCCAGAGCAAATTTGAATGTACGCCACTGATTACTTATACTTTTAATAATGTTATGACATTTATACACTAGCAACAAAATAAATACCTGCAGCATTAATGTTCAGATACTAAAGACTACAGTATTAACAGTAATACAAATTGTGTAGGTCGATATATGGTGGTAATAATAATACGACCCATATTCGAAGTGACACTTGATTGTAATAAAGATCATTGATATTGAACTATTAACGATACAATTATATACAACGCGGGAATTCCTATACATGGACAATGTATATAGATAAAGTTTAATAAATTATTATTATTATTATTATTTTTTTTTGTAGGACGTGTTAGAATTTTCATTATTACATTTTTTTTTTTTTTTTGTTATAAGTATAATAATTTAGATTTAGGATATAAAAATTACAATACTCAATTTTATTATTTACTTATATTAATAATAATGATTATAATATTTAAATTCACGCGGTAATTATTTGAATGTTACCTATCTTATCACCGATATCGAATAAATACATGAACAACAGTGGCTCCGCAACAGCAATACTTACCACCGGATCTATGGCATTTGTACGCTCGTGATGTAGACAAATTAGCTGCCTAGTATTTTATATCTGTGGTCTAGACCCAACGGTCAATGGTTTAGTCTGGCGTTGATGAGTGAATAGGGGCGGTATCCTATACGTATATAGATAATAATATTATCTACATCGTGGTCTAGTGATATTTTAGTATACCGGTTACCAACTAAGTTTGTGTACGGCGGTTACTAACTGCAAGAATCAACCAATCACAGCACATTTTTTTTTTTTTGAAATCATGGTTGACGTTATCATTTATCATGTTTGAGTACTCGCCACTCGGTACTGTCACTACTCACTTGGAAATGTCGTCCGATTTGTTATGTGCTTTGACTGTGTCTGTCTAGTGTCTAATGTCTATTGATGTGTGGAACCTGTCAAATGTGAATTGAAGACTCGGGAGTTATATTGGCCAGTTGTCACTAGTCACTTATGACACAGAATATAATAATATTATTAGTTGTGATGTCATTAATTCAATTTTTGTATTTTTGAGTTTGTTGAGTGTTAAGACTACCCTAAAGTCTTGTTTTTAATATTATATAATATTTAATAGTTTTTAACTATTAAAGTAATACTTTACATATTGTTCTGGTAATATTTTTATTAATAATTTTCATACAATGGATCAAGAAAATCAGAGTGTTATTTATATTGAAAACTGGAATGATCTATGTCGATTGTGTCTCCGCAATGAACAAAAATTGCAAAATTTATTTTTCGAAGAAACCCTTTTGGAAAATGTCCAAGAAGTTACTAATCTCCATGTAAGTTATTATAGCAACATAATTAAATGTATATTTTAATTTTATCAAAAATATTTTTATTTCCAGTTTAATGTCGATGATTCTTTACCTAATTCTATATGCAAAATATGTATCGACCAAGTTAATTCATTTGTTGAATTTCGAGTACGATGTAAAGCTACGGACGAATGGCTACGAAATGAAGGTGCCATTTCGGATAATGATCATAAGGTATATCTTTTATTTAGATCTCAAATAGTATTAAACTGTATGTCTAATTATGAAATATTGAAAAATTATACTTAATTATTATTAAGAATTGCATACCGTCGTTCCAGTTTCTCAAATAAATTTCTTTTGACTACAACTATTATTTAATGAATGTTGGTATGCGTGTATGTTCCAGGATAATATCGAAATTGTAGAAGTAGTGGACATCTGGAACGACGGTACTTCATTGGAAAAGAATGAAAGCATAATTTCCCAATTATGTATAGAAAATAATGATGATAAATTTTGTTTGTGTGAAGATTGTGGAGAATGCTTTGAAACAACTAAACAACTCACTTTACATACTAAAATACATTCTTCTGACCATATTAAATGCACCATGTGCAATGCAGTTATAGATAACTATAGTAAATTTGATAATTCATTATTAAAAGATAAAATCAACCTATGCAAAAAGTGTAAAAATTTGAATAATATTGACAATTTAGAAGAAAAACATTCTTATACAGAAGTTGAGGGTGGTTTCTTATGTGAAAAATGTCAAAAAGTTTTCAAAACACTGGCTGGTATGTTATCGCATTTAAGGAATTATGAAAAAAAATTAGAAATTGGTTCTTTGTCCTATCAGTGTCATTTTTGTGAGGAAGTATTTGCAACTATTCAACAAGTTTGGATACATATGAAGACTCATGCACCCGGTGAGAAAATAAAATGTCGTCATTGTGAAAAATGTTTCAAATCATACTTAACACTTGTTCGTCATGAAAATAAACATGAAGGTACATTTAATTATGTATGTTCATATTGTGGAAGAGCTTTTGTTACACCATATGGCCGCGTTAGACATGAAATGACCCATAATGCGGCTAAAGATGTGCAATGTGAAAAATGCGCAATGACATTTTATACTAGAGCTGAATATAACAGACATATGAGATATCATGACAATGTTAGGAACTTTTTGTGTTCATTTTGTGGTAAACGATTTTTTGAAAGTGCTCATAAAACAATTCATGAACGTGCCCATACTGGTGAAAGGCCATTTGCCTGTAATTTTTGTGGAAAGAAATTCATGTCTAAACAAAAAGCACGTCGACATCAAGCCATTCACTCAAGACATGAAAATAAAAAATAAATGAATACTATAATTTATTTATTACTTTAACTCTTTATAATATAAGTTTGTTCCTATAATATAATTTTTTATGTTACCAAATATTACTTTTCATCTGTTTTGTATTACAGTTTCGCTTAATATGATCACATTGGTTCAGGCCATTTTGACTCTATTAACCAGTTGATTTCATTGAACAATTTTTTTTAAATGTTTCTATATTTATACGTATACTTTAATTAAATTAAAATAAAACAAATACATTTCAAACAAAGAAAAGAAACTATCCATTTTCGTTTGTACTTAAGAAGCTTCTAATTTCATTTTCATATTGGCCTGAAATTAAAATCCATATTCATGGTGTATAACTAATATTTAAATTATGAAAAATTCAATATAATATAGTAATAATGTAAAGCTAAATTAATGTTAAATGTATTACTGTCCCTTCTGAAATAGAATTAATGGTCGGTACATTTAAATTTCAACTTCAACTTGAAACAATGTAACAAAGATTCTTCTACATCAACATTTCATTTCTGTCACTCTGATAAGTTCATAAATGAAATTCCTCCTATAAATTAATCAGTTTGAAATATCATAAAAATAACAAGAACATGGGCATGTGTAGAACATATGTAGATATTGGATGTATCATCCCACCTCTCACATTTTTTTTTGGATTTTGAGCAGAGCAATAATTGTATTGTTTTTACAATGATGTTTATTTTTTTTTTTTGTCCTTAGTCACTTTTTAGGGCAGTAAAAATACTTTGATTTTCTACTTAGTTATATTTTCTGATATTAAAGTGAATCTAGTTGGTATTTTTGGGAAGAGTTGACCAAAAAAGAAAATGTTTGGCAAAAGTGAAAAATTCTCATTAGTTTTCAAAAGTTAGAAAAAACAAAAATTAAATACGGAAAAACAGAAAAAAATTTTTACGCCAAACTAATTGACTGTAACGCAGTTAAATGAAAATTTTACCGAATGTTAATATTACCATTTTCTATACATCATAACACTTTCAAAATATTTTAACACTTTAAGCTATTTATAGGCAGAAGAGAATTCCCATTTGTATTAGTTATTTTAAAAATTATTGTCCATAAATATATTTTCACTTGGTCAAAAATCTAATACAAGGTTTATCATAAGTTGTTAGCGGAAATTAAAAAAAAAAGTTGAGGGTATTCATAACATATTCTTTTATATTTTCAAAATATTTGGATTGATTTTGATCCCTAACAGAAATATTTATTTTTTTTTAGTTTTTTTTCGATAAATGCCATGCACTTATCTAGACACCTACTGTACAGCAGATCAGTACCCACTTACCCACTTCTTTATATATAATATTAGTTCAGGGGGCACTACCTTGTAATTTATCTTAAAAATTATGAAAATGTATCCTCCCCCAATGAAAATTCCTGTCTGTGTCACTTGGATAAGAATGTTCATAAGAGTGATTCAATTTTCCGTTACATAGTGATTCTAATAAAAGTTAAATTTAACGTTAGTAACATATAATTTAGTTTAAGGTTTTCTTATTTTGATTCTAATAAACGGGTTGGATCTATAAACCAGTGATCACATTAAGCGGAACTCACTGTATTAGTATTTTATTATGATTCTGGATTTATATACTTTTATACTTTTGGTTTTAATTTCTTAGTAGTTGATAATTATTATCTTGGCTTTATATTGGCAAATATTTGTATTTGAATGGGATTCTAAATAATACACACATATATATATATATATATATAGTGTTAAAATTACTTAATATTGATGTCGTTTAAAACATTTTGTATGAATTATTTATACTGTAATTTATTAATAAAATGTGATATAGAGTTTATCTGTATAAGCTACTTTAAGAAATATAATTTTAATATTATCAAAATAATGCTTTTAATTACTTAAATATAACTTTATGTCTAAATTTTAATTAAATAAATTGTATATACTTTTTAGGATTCAGTTATAATTGATTCGGAAGGAATAGATAATAAACATTTATTATTGGATCCAAATCAATATGAAGAACAGTTAATTGATGATCCAGAACCTGTTAATGATAAGCAATTAGTTAAAAATGAAATTGAGTTATCACATTGTATTGTTCAAACAGAAGAGGTAATGCAAATGTCCGTTAAAGTTGAAGATACATTAGAAGCCAACTCTAGTGAACATCAATGTGGAATTTGTGGTAAAGAATTGTTGTCTGCATATTCGCTAGCAAACCACATGCGCTCCCACACAGGAGAGCGTCCTTATGGGTGCAGTGTGTGTGAAAAATTCTTCAAGACTAAATCCAATTTGACTGAACACTATAAGTTAGTTGTACTATTATTTTATATTATTTACAGTTGTAAACTTGCTCATGGGGTGGTTGGGGTAGGCTGGGGTAGGCTATAGTCCAAGCTAAGGAACCAAATTTTCACACTATAAAGAGGAGAACATTTACGTTGCAACGTTGTTTTTATTTTTTCAATATCAAAAGTATGAAACAATTACTTATTGTTAATTACTTATTGAATTCATTGATTTTGAGTTTTTCAAACTTGAATAAAATTGTTTTTAGTTCTGACTAAGGTCCAACCTCCCATCAACATTTTTTCGAAGTAGGTGAACTAAAAAATTTAACATTAATTTGAATTTTGGCCAACTTAAATACCACCTACTTTGATATTCTGAACCAATAAAGACATTTATTCCCTTCCCACCAAAAAAAAAAAATGCTGAGTACGGTCTTGACTCGAAGCGTCTTCAATGGGGGATGGCCCAGGGGGCAGGCCTATTTATAAATAATTTTACTGTAACTCAATTGTTTCTGATGACATTAAGAGGACACTACCCTGCATGTGTTAATTGTCTCCATTTTACAAATGTACGACATTCTCGTTAATTATCTTCAATAGTCTGGTGTTACTGTGTTAGTTTTAATATTAGAGTGAATTGACCTATTATCAAACTTTTAGGCAAGAACACTATCTAACTATCTATGCTTAAGCGCCGGTGATTTTTCCGATATTATCATTTTCAAGCAAGATATGATTAAGTGAAATATCACTAATTAAAAATGCTCATATCTCGCTTGAAAATTAAAATATCGAATAAAAGCCGACACTTGAGCACAGATAATGTTCTTACCTTTAAAGTTACCTAAGAGATAATAGCCAATAGGTCAATTCACTCAGATATCAAAACTAACAGAAAACTAGTGAACGAACATGTTCCATGTTGTTCGTGTGGAAGACGGAGACAACAAATACATGGGTGTAGCGTCCTCTTACCATTTTAATTAAATTGTTACATTTCAATAAATCTATACAATATTAATTGTTCGTCCTAATATGTGGTTAAAATTGTTCATCCATAACTTCTTATAACCCCCCAGTTCATCTTAGCACTCGTTATAAAAATATAGTTTTTAGACCACTGGTTTTTTTTAGAATCGTAACTCAGTTGACAATTGTCAAATTAATGCCAAAATTACACTGGACGGGTTATTTAAGAGGACGTTGTTCTCGCAGGGTAGTCTTCGTTTGACTAACGCACAACATAGTAAACCTTACGTTTTACGTTGATAATAATTCACTTTAATATGTTCTTTTAAATTTTAGAGTATTTGACTGTTAATATTATTTAGGGCCATACGTAAGCGTTTTTGGATATTTTAGTTTTAAAACAAGTTAGGTATGCGCATTTTAATACTCGTAACTTGTAAAACATTTTTAAAGAAATAAACATGATATAATATGTACCCAATATTATGTACCTATTATATTTTTTAATACCTAAACACAATTTAAAACTAAATATAGTATACAAAGACCGAGTTTGTACCTTTAGTCCCCCCCCCACTACAAATGGTTCTACCAGTCGATACCAGAGCGAACTCAGACTAATGTTTGTACCTATTTGTTATTCGAATGTGTACGAATAGGCACCTATAGACTATAGTCTATAGTTAGGTATAGGTAGTATCCATCACGTAAACGATTTTTATTTTTCGCATATCATATTATATTATTATTATTTAATTCCCGTAGAGTCCACAATCCGGAACTGCGTTGGATGAAATTGTCGAGCAGGGACATCCCGTCCATAACCAGAGTGACTGTCAAATCCGAAGACATACTGACGTGCGGTCAGTGTTCCAAGGTGTTCGTGTCGCTGGACGAGTTGTCCGCACACGAACGCGTCCACGACGAGGAACGGGAACAGCTGGAACAGCAGCCGCAGACGGTCGCGACGACGATTGCATCGTCGTCTTCGTCTGTGATTACGTCGACGTTCACGTGTGAACAGTGCAACAAAAAGTTCACGTCGAAATTGCAACTGTCCGCGCACATAGGCAACAACTGTTCGGACGGCGTTGACCGGCAGTGCCCGTACTGCGGCGTGCAGTTCCGGTCGGTGGCCGCGCTGGAGAACCACAAGCGGGTTCACACCAGGGAAAAACCGTTCGCTTGCGAGCTGTGCGGCAAGCCGTTCCGGACCAAGGGCAATATGCTCGTTCACCAGCGCGTGCACAACAACAGCCCGTGGCTGATGAAGAGCAACGCGAAGAAGACGACCGACGCCGGTGCGGGCGGCGGCGACCAGCGGTTCCAGTGCACGTACTGTTCGAAACCGTTCCGCGCGTATGTGGCCATGTTGAACCACGAGCGCGTGCACACCCGCGAAAAGCCGTTCGAGTGTTCCGAGTGCGTCAAATGTTTCCGCACCAAGTCCAACCTGACGGAACACATGAAGTGCTGCCACGGCATGGACTCGGCCGCTTGTGGCTCGGACGATGTGCAAGTGTTCACGTTCAAGACCCATTCGATGGTTACCCCCAAAGCCGAGCCGCGGAGTCGGCGTGACGACCGCGACGGGCTCGTCGCTGTTGCGCGCTCGTCGAGACGCAGTCATTTTGACGATGATTTTTATCATTCATAAGATTAATATTGTTAGGTATGCGTCTATTTTATTATGTTATACAATTTGTATAGGACCAGAACATAATTTTTTGCCAGCATTTATATATACTTAACCATAATAATGTAATTTTGGTATATATTTAATAATTTAGTTACACATAAAACAGTACAATATAATTTACATTTTATTCTTTTGCAAGTACACATTTACATGATATAATTTATTATTATAGTATGTGTATACAATAATATATATAATATTAATTCGACGTTTATTGTTTAATCAAATTTTGCGGCGATTATAATAACTATATAATAATAATATTGTGTATTTAAATGTTCGTTTAGCTATATGATAGTTATAATAATAATGATAATAATAATAATAATAATTAATAATAATAATAATAATAATAATAATATTAATATGCTAATAATTACAATTACATATTGTCATATTATAAATATAAGTACCTCCTATTCGTCTAACATTGTTCGTGTCGGTAGGTACGTCTAATGTGTTATATAAATTATAATATTATTCAGTATAACTGCTAAGTAATAATACAGTAGACGCTTCTTATAAGACTCACTTTGGGACCAGCACAAAGTGAGTCTTATAACCGAATGAATCTTATAGGCGAAGTGGAAAAAAAAAATTAATTACGTATTTATAAATTTTATTTTACTACATATTTTGCTTTGATTTAACACATATTACATATTACATACTTTATTATTGAATAAATTTAATAATCCTGATAAAAAAAAACTAAAATTATAATAGGTAAATATTACATATAAAAATATTATAAAAATTATACATTAATAAAAAATTATAAAGGATGTATGTACATTATGTTATAATGTATTTATTATTTATTTTTATTATACGTTATAAAGTACCACCTGAAACTAGAAATAATCAACACGAATATTATTTAATTTTTCAATACCAATTTATTTCTAAATTATAACCAAAAAAGTTTATTTTCTACTATTTATTTTACGAAATTTGAGTCTTATAACCGAAGTGTTGAGTCTTATAACCTATTTTTTTTAATGTATTTGGATACGTCCGGACCGTTCCAGACGATTTTGAGTCTAATAAGCGACTGAACCTTATATCCGTGAGTCTTATAAGCGGCGTCTACTGTATATTACAATTATACGTAACTAATAACTAATGCCTTACGTGTTTGTCACAAATTATATTATATTAAGTCTAAGAAAGCCATCAACATTGATAAGTACTCAATACCTACTTATAGCTAATAATTAATCTATTTAATTCATTTAAGTGATTATTATTTATTATGCATTTATGCGTTGCACCTTCATCAATATGAATACCTAGAGGAATATATTACAATGTATAATATTTTACCTACATAATTTAATAATTAACAATTAATTAGTTAGTTATATAAGATATAACATACATAAATTAAAATGTATTTTTTATATAAAAGTGAATCTTAGGTATAGTAATTTTGTTTAGCTTTATTGTTATAAACTTTAATATAATTGTATAAGAACTTCTTATATATAAATTAAACTATAATATTATATAAATGATTTAATTAATTGAATATCTATTATTTGGATAACGATGGAAAATATTTCACATAATATCTACCTATATATTGTGGGTGTAATAACAGGTGTGTCTGTTAATTATTATCATTATAGAATATACTCTACTATGTTTTTCCGTGTCATATTTAGTCCAATATTTCTAGGGGGACGAACATATAATAATTTACAACTATTCATTTTAATTGATAATAAGTGTTTGTTCGTCGCGCCGCACGTACTTTTCTATCGTGGTTTGCTGCAACGACTTGCGGTGTGTTGAGACGGGAAAAGGTTACCCAAATATAAATAATAAAAAATAATAGATAAACTCCAATTGCGAGTACAAATGCGCTAGGTGCTTAATAATATACACAATAGCAGTGATTAGCAATTATACCGCAAAACAATAGACTATAATAGAATATGTATATAAACCAAGACTACAATGCAGTAACGATGCTGGGCACGGCCAGGATTACCACACGTCAGCGAAGGAAACTCTTTGGTCCGAAATTTGTATGTAAGTATAAAATTCTTAATTAATTATTTCATTATTATTTTACAAAATTAATAGGTATAATATTATTGTAATTTTTTTTTCCAATAACGTTTTAAAATGCATTATTTCTATTTATAGTCATGCTATAATTTAATTTTTAAATACTATAGAGTGTTGTAATAAAACGAAGTTTACATATCAGAACTTATTAGATAACAATGAATTCCCAAAGATTTTTTTATTTTGAGTTATCAGTTAGGTAGGTATAGTATTACATATTCAAATTTTATAATATTATTGTTTATACTATAAATTCTATAAAATGAATAGGTAGTAAAAAAAAACATTGTATAGTAAATAATTGTACTAGATATGTTATTTTGTCATAAGCAAGAAACATTACTATGAGCACAATCTTATTTGATGATTTCACATCAATTTAATTATAATACACTAAGGTATACTTTATCTGTAATAATGTTTATATGTTATGTTAAAAATATTAGAAATATTATTTTTCAAAAATGATTACGACATGTATACCTACTTTATTTGGTCATCTTTAAAATAATTATTATATTATATTCAATTAGGAATAGTACCTATGCATCTACTAAATGCAGTAAGGCAATACACATACCTAAATAAAAAAAATTTGCTTCAAAATTTCTATTTAAATTAGTTTTTTTCAAGTCCTCTTATAAATTACTGTTTTAGGTTTCAATTATAAAAATAATATAAAATATTATAATAACATCATATTCGATCAAACAATTATTTCATTATAATCGTTAAATATGGGTAAATTATTATTTTTTAATAAACTGTATACTAGGTAGGTATACAATATATTATGCCTATTATAAATTAAAAAACTTCTTTAGTACGATTGTTATTTTAACCTTACTATCTTTTATTTTAGCGTAGGTAGTAATAATTATAATATGAAAAATTACCTGTTTAGATATTTTTTTTTATTAATCACTAACTCTACTTATTTGATCAATTATATTTTATCATTTTAGTTTTAAAAACAGTGATAGATATTATGACATATATTTTGTAGCTTAAGTTTATAGTTGTAAATTTTTGTACAAAATATACTGAACCATGACATAAATATTGATTTAATTTGCTAATTTATTGTAATTAAAATATAGGTATCTATTTAGTAGATACCTAAAAGGCTAAAACCTATTATATTAACCCATGACATTGTTATTTTTAGATTCAATCTTTGATATCAAAACACAATGTCAGGCCTACAAAATTATAGTTCACAGTTACTTAAGTACACAAGACTTTTCAATAATGGCTGTGTCGCAAGTTTACGTTCAACTGCTACGTCATCATTTGAAATGATTCAACGAGAGAGAAAAGTGTCTGCAAACAATTATGATCCTAGCTCCGTGGTTCTCTCCAGAGGAGAAGGTTATTATTTAATCGTATATTTAAAAAAAAAAAAATTCCAATTTAGATTTAAATTTCAAAATAACTAACATTTTTTTTTTTAATGTATATTGTAAACACATAAACATAATAAATCATTGTTATAATATTAAAACATTTCAGGGATTTTCATGTGGGATGTTGAAGGAAAAAAATATTACGACTTTGTGGGAGGATTGGCCACCCTTAATCAGGGTCACTGTCATCCAAAAATTATTAATGCCATGACAGATCAATTAAACAAACTTCATCACACGACAAGAGCTATATTTCACGATTCACTTTATGAACTTAATGAGTTCTTGACTGAACAATTTGATTATGAAAAAGTTTTGAACATGAATACTGGTAAAATACATTTATTTTGATATGCATTTTGTATTATGTAAATATTATATTTTAACTGAACATTTTATAACTGAAATAATTAAATCAATATCGACCATCAAATATTAAATTTTTATTACTCAATTAACTTTCTTCGTATTTATTTAAGGTGTTGAGGGAGGAGAGTCTAGTATCAAGATTGCTAGAAAATGGGGATATAGGGTGAAAAAAATTAAACATAATCAAGCAGAAGTTGTATCTGCTCATGGTAACTTTTGGGGGCAAACAATAGCCGCCATTTCTGCATCCACAGATCCAACATCTTGGAATGAATTTGGACCTTTTGTTCCTGGTTATCAAATAGTGTCTTATGATGATTTAAAACAATTTATTGGAGGTAAATATGAGGCAAAATTATTTATTGAATTGTCAAATCGTTTGTTTCTGTTTGAAGGTTTTAATGATTTTATTTAAAGAAAATAACTGACATATTGTTTAAGTATTATTATTTTAATAAACTCGTTTTATACTATGTATAATTTTGCAAAAAATATTTCAAGAGTTCTAAAAGTTTTTATAAATTATTTATTTTACATATATTTTTTATTTTTATTTTAAATCAGGTAGTTATAAAAAATTGTACAAATATATACATCAAACATATTATATGAAATATCTCAATTCATTGACCAAAGTATGTAGGTGTATTCATGGATAATATGTGTATGTGTTTAAGTTAATTTCGAGCTCGAAGTCACTGCGTAATATTATACGTATAATTAAGTTTTTTAATTTATATAGGTATTTAATACCTATTATATCAAGAGATACTTTTTTTTGAGTTCTATATATGATATTGATATGATTTGAACACCAATTACATAAATTTGTTTAAGTTGATGAGTTCTGAATATTATAGTTTATAATATAGTAAATAGATAACAAACTAACAACAGTTACGCTTATGATCTAATAATAATTATGTAACGATACTATAGCTATGTTATATTGAGATAATAGTAAATTAATTTTATATTCTATGGTTAAGTAAATAAGGGCTAAGGGGTGAGGGAGATAATATAATATTGTTGGAGATAAATAAATAATTAATAAATAAATTTGGCTAATATTTCAAGATAATTAATTTTGCGATCATAAAGGATGCTCGATTGACTGAATAGTAAATGTACACAAACTATTGTCGAAGAGTATACCACGGTGTGGACGATGAGTCTTTTACTGAAAGACTGGCCCCTGTATCGACATTGTTTGATCTTTATATTATAGGGCGATGTTTGTGTAATCCCTTCATTTGTCGATGTGTATTGACTTTAAGGTATCACGATTAATTTATGATTTTATATCTATATTTTACGATGCAACGTAAATACCGCCAGTAGAGGATTAGTGTCGTTTTGCAAAGCAATAGATCGAACATTGAAAGGGTGTGGAGATTTAGAGTATCATTTATGTGTTAGGTATATAAAGAATATGTAGGTATATACCTAATTTATATGTATATGTATATTGCATCATCCCACATCATGCATGTTTCATATAGTAATTCTTTAATAAATCCTATTTTTAAATTAATTTTATTAATCCTATTTATATTTAAGGTATATCCGTACCTACTTTGCAAATATTGTATATTACATAAATTAGATTTGTCTTTTATTTATCACTTGGTTTTACTCTTTATCAGTAGCTATGTTTCCAAATGTTAATAATATAGTATTATAACATATTATTATGTTTTTAGTTTTATATTTATATTTTTGATTACTGCTATAGTAATCATATTATATGTAATGAACTATGTTTTAACTCTTGATTTAAAATTTTCTTATAGAAAGCATTGAAAAATCCTAACGTGTTCGCATTTATGGTAGAACCATTGCAAGACGAAGCAGGAGCAGTTGTGCCTACTCTAGGCTACTTGAAAGGAGTTCGTGAGCTTTGCACAAAACACAACGTTCTTTGGATTGATGATGAAATAATACAAGCTGGATTGGGTAGAACCGGAAAAATGTTAGCAGTCGATTATGAAAACGTTAAACCTGATCTATTGATCCTGGGAAAAGCACTTTCCGGGGGAGTCTATCCGGTGAGTATGATTTGAAAAACATTAAGTCGTACCTATTTTTTAACACCCATTAAATAAAATTAATTGACACAATAGGTTTCTGTGGTATTGGGTAACAGTGAAGTAATTTGATGTCCTTACTCCTAGTACTCATGGGTCTACATATGGTGGAAATCCGTTAGCATGTAATACCTAATGAACCATTATTGTGTATGTAGGTACTTTATGGTGTAATAATAATTTTCATACAAAAAACTTATCATTTTATCATTCATTTGTACTACTCATAATAGTCAATAATTTGATATGAGTTCAAAATAGTTTAGCAACTTAAATTGTCAATCAATACACGGTTTTCATGTTCAGCTGTAATTACTCAATAGATAATATAAATTACAGTTATTTTAAAAGATTACTTTTTTTGTTTTGAGAATAAACATAGAATATTATTTTAATTTGTATTACACTTACAGATGGAGTATCCAATTATGTCTACTAGTTAAACAACGAATTGAAAACTAATGGATTGATTTCTAAGTCTATTGGATCAGACGCATTGAGATTCTCGCCACCATCAATAATTACAGAAGAACAACTACGTGAAGGAATTGACATAATTGCTAACACTATAAATGATTTTAATATTTAAACAATTATCTTTAATATAAACGCAAAAAAGATGTACTTTTTATAGACTAATTCGTTCATTACAACTAAATATAATATTGTTATTACTATCTTATAATTTATAATATGAGATCAGAAAGATTGTAATTCAAAATTCATAAATTGATTTTTGTAAATATTACCAGTACCTACTTGGAAAAAATATAAAGCTATACGTCTATAACTTGAAATGTATACTTGACACTAGGTACCTTATAAAATTGTCATTTTTACGAAATTGAGACATTATAGTACTTAAAATGATAATATTGTTAAATGACTTGCTGAAAATATAATATTTAAATAAGTAAATATCACTTTGCTACACAGCAGGTGTCTAGAGAGTCACTGTAATTGATGTGTTAAATTGTAATTCAATAATCGTTGTATATGATAAAACGAATCTGAGAGAAAACGGTTAGTTAGACCATAATATTACCAAGTATATTTTATAATATTGTTGTTAGTTATTTAATTAAGTTATGTTAAGTTAAACTTAAGTAATACAGTAGGTAGAATTAAGTTTTTCCAAAAAAATGGCACTTGAAAATGTCATTTTGTGTATACAATATAATACATAATATTCATCATTTTTAAATTACAACAAAAATAACTCAAATCATTATTCTACTTTTAAATTTCTAATTTCGTCAAAATTTAAATTTTAAATGTATATAAAAAAAACCCTGTTTATATATTTTTTAAATTATTCGGTTACAATATAATAATTAACTTCTTATGGCAAACGTTGTTTTAAACTTGAAAACATTAGCTATACAAATTGAACATGTTATACGTTTTGAACTACAAAGTAATTTTCAAGTAGTAGAGATTTTGTCAAATTTGAACTTAAAATGCTTCTAAAAAAAATAGTTACTATGTAACTTAAAAATTTTCAACTGCTATTATAAAAACTAATAGGGTATCCTATTTCAAATCTTGGGTATGTATAGAAACATTTTATATTTAAAAAAAAAACTAAAAAAATTGTAAATATCTATAAAAACAACTAAAACCGACTGATAACAATTAGTGGAAATGTAGTTAAAAAAAATGACCATTTACACTGAATGTTTATATTAGTATTTCCAATACAGCATACAATTTTGAAAATATTTTGACTCTTTTTGAGCCGTTTAAGGACATTTTCAGTTTTCAATTTTTTTAGTTTTTTTTTTCTATAAATATGCTTGAAAATTTAATAGAAGGCTCCTAGTATATTGTTTCAAAAGCAGATGGAAAAAATTAAAAATCTATTCACAATTTTTTTTATAAGCATTTAAAGATCGCATTTTGACAAAATTTTTCAATATCTCGAAAATTATCAATCATCGTAATTAATAAATTATAAAATGTTCAGTTTTTATAGCTAAGGATTGAAAATTTAAAACAAAGGTTCTTATAAATAGTTCATACTGTAACCAAAAGTGTATTATTATATATCTATGATAGTATCACGGTTATAAGTACCTAATGGATATTGTGATACGATTAATTTGGAATTTATTATAGGTACCTATTACAGGTCAATTTTTTGTTTAATACCATAGATATGTATATAATATGTTTTATACCTAGACTGACATACCGTCTCCGCTCAGAATCGATTTTCTCATACAATGATATTATATCGTTAAATTCAAATTTAATATCATCCATTATACAGTGACCCACTTGTAACCTACTGTACAGCAGAGCGATTCCCACTTGCCCACCTTTTTTTAAATTTTTTTTTGTGTCTGTCATCACGTTTTTTGACAGTGAAAGTGCTTGGATTTTCTTCAACAGTAGCTTTTCTGATAGGAAAATGAAGCTAGTTGGTAATTTGGGGGGTCAACAGTAAAAATAACAATTTTCAAAAGCGCCTTAAAAAAACAAAAGAAAAATTAAAGAAAAACGGAAATTTCTACGCAAAATCTGTTTTCGAGAAAATCGATTATGATTTTTGGTGCAACTTTTAAACAAATGACCATAGGTACATGAAATTTTGACTGAATGTTTATATTAGCATTTTCTATACACTATAACATTTTCAAAATGTTTTCATATATTTTGAACTGTTTAGGGACATTTTCATTTTACGTTTTTTTTAGTTTTTTTTTCATAAAATATCACTACAATTTTATTTTTTGGTTAAAAAAGCTTGAAAATTTAATACAAGGCTCCTACTATATTGCTACAATGGCATTTGAAAAATATTAAAAACCTTAAGCCACAGTTTTTTTTTATAAGCATTTAAAGTCCAAAAATTGACAAAATATGGAAAAATCATGAAAATATTAGCAAATCATTTTGAGTTAAGAATTCGTAAAAATTTTTCTTATTAAATCTAAGATTTTAAAATGTGATACAAGATTCCTTATAAGATTATCTACCTTTATCAAAAAATAAATGTCTATAAGAAAGTCAAATTAAATTTTTATGAGCGTTTGAAATTCAAATTTCTACAATATTGGATATTCACTCGATTTCTCATGTAGTGATTTCCTTATTTAGTTGTAATTCAAAAACGAATAACTGTAGATACATGAAAATTTCACTTACCTAATATTTATATTAGCATTTCCTATACACCATACAATTTTGAAAATATTTTGACTCTTTTTGAGCTGTTTACGGACATTTTCAGTTTCCAATTTTTTTAGTTTCTTTTTCTATAAATATCAATTAAGTTTTACCTGTTGGGCCAAAAAGTGTAAAATTTAATACAAGGCTCCTGATATATTGTTACAATAGCAGTTGAAAAATATTAAAATACATAGGCACAGTTTTTTTTTATAAGCATTTAAAGATCGGATTTTTACAAAATTTATCAAAATCTTGAAAATTATCAATCATTGTAATTAATAAATTAAAAAGGTGGGCAAGTGGGTGTCGCTCTGCTGTACAGTAGGTTACAAGTGGGTCACTGTATAATGGATGGTATTAAATTTGAATTCAATGATATAATATCATTGTATAAGAAAAACGATTCTGAGCGGTGACGGTATGTCAGTCTATGTATAAGACATATTATATACATATCTATGGTGTAAAACAAAAAATTGACCTATAATAGGTACCTATAATAAATTCCAAATTAATCATATCACAATATCCATTAGATACCTATAACGCGTTATACATCAACAAAAACCGTGATACTATCATAGATATATAATAGTACACTTTAGAAGTTTCAAGTACCCACGAATAATATTATTCAATCACAACAAAATAACTAAAATAGTTATTCTAGGTTTTTTAATATGTAATTTCGTCCAAATTTGAATTTAAAATGTCTGTAAAAAATAAGTGTGTTCATATATTTTTTAGATTTTTTGGTTATAGTATGAACTATTTATGAGAACCTTTGTGTGGAATTTGTAATCCTTAGCTATAAAAACTGAAAATTTTATAATTTATGAATTACAATGATTGATAATTTTCGAGATTTTGATAAATTTTGTCATAATTTGATCTTTAAATGCTTATAAAAAAAACTGTGCCTATGTATTTTTAATATTTTTCAACTGCTATTGTAACAATATATCAGGAGCCTTGTATTAAATTTTTACACTTTTTGGCCCAACAGATAAAACTTTATTGATATTTATAGAAAAAAAAACTAAAAAAAAATTGAAAGCTGTAAATGTCCATAAACAGCTCAAAAAGACTCAAAATATTTTCAAACTTGTATGGCACATGTATTAGCAAATGCTAATATAAACATTCAGTAAAATTTTCATGTATCTACAGTTATTCGTTTTTGAATTACAACAAAATAAGGAAATCGCTACATGAGAAATCGAGTGAATATCAAATGTTGTAAAAACTTGAATTTAAAACAATCATAAAAATTTAATTTGACTTTCTTATAGAAATTTTTTTTTTGATAAAGGTAGACAAACTTATACAAAATCTTGTATTACATTTTGAAACCTTAGATTTAAAAAGAAAAATTTTTACGAATTTTTAACTCAAAATAATTTTGGACTTTAAATGCTTATAAAAAAAAAACTGTGACCTAGGATTTTTAATTTTTCAAATACCATTGTAACAATATAGTAGGAGCGTTGTGTTAAATATTCAAGCTTTTTTAACCAAAAAAAAAAATAAAAAAAAATGGAAAATGAATATGTCCCTGAACAGTTCAAAATAAATCAAAATATTTTGAAAATGTTATAGTGTATAGAAAATGCAAATATAAACAACCAGTGAAAATTTCAAGTGTCTACTTTCATTTGTTTTAAAGTTACACCAAAAACCTAATTCAATTTTCTAAAAAATCGATTTTGCGTAAAAATTCCCGTTTTTCCTTTATCTTGTCGCTTGTGAAAACTATTGGGAATTTCCAATTTTGACCTCCCAAAAGTACCAACTAGATTCACTTTCCCATCAAACAAGTTACTGAAATAGGACGTATGGTCACTATATATTAATAAAAAGTAACCACACCTACATTACTCTTCAACGTGTAAACTAATAAAATATAAACGATATAGCTATTTAAATATAATTTAATGATACATTATTTCCGTGGAAAGGTTATACAATTTAACAAAATATTATTGTTGATTAAGTAGTCTTGCGATTTATTTTATTTTTTAATTAAATCAAAAAAATAAATTATTATAAATTTAAAAAAAAAAACCATATTATTAGGTACATGACTTATTGATTTTTAAACTCTGAATAGAATATAACATACGGCGGGGTACATACTGTTGATTTTAAAACTATATACATAATAATATAGTATTAGAATAAAAATATATGATCATTTTTTCTTTGATATTTGGGAAATAAATTACGACAATTCGTGTTTATATTATTTAAAAATAACTGTAAATCACAA